GACAGAAAGCCTCGACCCAGCTGTCCGTGCTGCTCTGGTGGCCAGGGGCTACGTGGGCCCAGGCACGCGCTCGACACCCGACCCGAAGATGTTGGAGACGGTGCTGGCGGGTTTCGAGAGCCTCGGTGTATCCAGCAGCTTCGACGGAAGCTTCGGCGGCCCAGCGGCCGCCTCTGGAGGTGCCGAGGTTGATGCGTGGGCCCACGCCCTGCCGCCCGACTTCAAGCGAGCTGGAGTTGAGATCTACATGAACATAAGGGCGGCAGGGAGCACAAGTGTACGGCATTGGTTGCAGCAGCAGTTCCAGGGATATCGAGGAGGAGATCAATGGCAGGGGTTCTGGTCAGTGGCGTCGACGTTAGATTTCGAGCTAGGCAAGTGTTTGAACGACCAGGAGCTCATGTTGGTGTTGACGACGAATGACAATGTAGAGATCTCCTTGCGCCATCTCTCGGCGTACGTGTACGAGTCCAGGACTCACGACAAGGTTGGAGCTGCTCGCCTGCGGGCGGTCACGGCCCCTGGCCGCGGGCTGGACATCGCGCCAGGTTGGCTTATCACGGCGGCGACCTCTCACAGCAAGATGGAGCATCAGGGAGCAGAACGTGTATCGGCTGAACTACGACGGAGATCCGCGGCCAAGGGAGATCGAGGTTATAAAGGAGGTGGTCGCGGAAGAGGTCCCAAGAAGGGTGGGGAGGCGGCCTGACGGCCGCCCCCTCCCCCCTGCCCTGGGCGCCTGGAGCCCCTCGAGGGCAGCGGCAGTACCTGGTGAAGGACCGATGGCGAGTCAAAGTGGAGAAGCCGAATGATGAGGAAGGTTTACGTTCCCACTGTGGGTTCCCAGCTCTCTCGGAAGTGGCGTCCGCCTTGCAGAGGGGTCAAGCCGTCCTACCTGTTCCACTTCTCCCCCGACCTGGTCGAATGGGGGTTCGTTCAGGGCGGCTTCGACAACGACTCAGACGGAAGCAGGAGGTACGAGAGGTGGCGAATCGGATCTTGGGAGCATTGAATGCGACCTACTCTGGATCTATGAAGCGCCAGACCGCACTAATGCAGCAGAAGTTCTGCAACGAGCTGATGGAGGATTCTGCTGTTGGGCAGGTCCAGCGGCGAGCAATTCAGCACGCCCAGGGCCAGCTCCACGTTCGCCGGCTACACCCAGCGACAGGCGTACGATCGACGTGTGAGCTTCTGAAGAAGGATCAGATCGGCTACAGGAGAGTACACAAGAGGGACGTTCACGTGGAGTTTGTCGCTCACAGAGTGGACGAGGTTACATCGACGAAGGTGGTCCCTCTGCTCGAAGCGCTCCCCCAGGATGAGGCGGTGTACTACAGCAAGGAGGAGAACGTCATCGAGTTGGAAGGGAAGACCACCCAGCACGTGGAGGAGCTCGAGAGACAGCTCGGGTTCTTCGGAGGACAGAAGGAGCAGTGGATCAAGTACTTACGCCGGGA